TGAAAATTCACTGTTCTCAAATTCACTGATTTATAATTTTTAAAAATTCAGTCTTAGAATAACTACACCACATGTATATATTCCTTCAGTAATTATTGTGGATCTTCTCCAGGCAAGGTTTGCTTCCAGAGCATGTTGGTACACACAAGCACAATATGGCTATTGTTGTCTGAGTGTTATAACAGTGAAAATTAAAGCATTTCTATGTGCCAAAACTGAATATCTGTGATTAAAGATGTTCTGTTACCCTGCTAGACGTTTTTAATGCTAATTAGTTCATGAAAATAAAACGTTGAAGGTGTATTAACATGTATTGGCACTGATATATTCTCAGTCACAGTTGTGACTGAAAATATAAGGCTCGAATTTATGCAGCTCTTTACCTGCTTCAGACAGTTCCACTCTCTCTTGCCTTTGGGTGGTGTCTCCATTGTTACATTTAATTGACTCAATGATCTTAAGGGTCTTTTTCAAACTAAATTCTTCTGTGATATGTTGGTGCAGGTGTATTAACTCTTCTACAGCTATGCTGCTGAAATAGAAATGTAGGAAATGGTTTAGATAGGAAAAAAGCCAGAAAAGATACTTTTTAACCGCAAAAATATTTTCTTAGCATTTAACATTATTTTTTATAATTAATGAAGTTTCTTTGCACTGAAGTGGCTGGTTAGCTACATGGTGTGTATTTCATTTCTAGCTCAGTCACTGTTGTTACTTCTGGCCAAGCCATCTCACCTTGCTGGGCTTCCTCCCTCCAGGCTTCTGGGAGAGCATGAAGCACCATGAGAGATAAAGTGTTTTGTTGCCTAACAGTCTGTTCACGTTTCATTTCTTTCATATGCAGTCAGTGGTAACATTGTTTAATTTGGAGATGGATGTAGAAAACAAGAGGTGATGGTTTTTGCACACACTCTGTATACCTCTCTTTAAAACGGAGTTTCTGAGATGGTTTATTCTGACAGAAATCAGATATCTATCAGGAATGGAGCAGTGATAATTTTTAATAAATATCATGATGATTTTCACACAGGCTCTCCAGCTGACAATTGTTTCAGTCTCTATCAAAAGTATTAAAAGAATAATGCAGAGAGTGTCTTTTTTTCTTCCCTGAAAGATGTCGGTTCAAGGATATTTGTTCACTTGCTAACACCAAAACCAAAAATTAAAAAAATGCTCCTCTTTAAGTAACAATTATCTTCTGTAAAGGGAGGTGAGGTCCTTTGCAGCTAACAGGAGGACATGTGGCCGTATCTGGCACTAGAGGTGGCTGTACACTGACACAGTACAGCCCCAGGGAAGGAGCCACTCTGTCCTCTTGTCCTGTCACTCTGAGATGTTTGTCAATGCAGTGTGGAACGTTGTGGCTAAGGGAACTGCTTGGGCTCATCAGAAGAGCATTTGGTCATTACCAAATTTTGCAGTGGGACTTGCTTGGTATCTTCCTGTGATAAAGCAGTATGGTATTTTCCTATGATAAAGCAGTCCACCATCATTTAGGAGACATAGTTTAAGGGACAAAGTTTGCATTTAAATAATGGCTGCTGGTAGCTCTGAAGGAGCTGTTGCTGACATACTCTGAACAAACAGCATTTTAAAGACTCACTTTAATAATTTTCAAAAAACCTCTTGATGCTTTTCTGCTCTAGCTCAGGATGGCTAGGAATTGGGTTCCTGCAAGATCCCCATGCCCAGACATTTCCAGACCCTTTGTTTTCTTTTGGTTAGGACCATGCTGAAAAATACCAGTCTCTTGGCATGAACAAAGCACAGATTTGCTTGTGGCATCAGAATTAGGAAAGCGCTGCAGAGCCTGAGCTCCCCAGGTGAAATAAGGTATGGAGGGGCCTGACCCTTCTCCCAGCTCCCCATTTCATGGGCAGGGTTTGTGGACAATTGCTGTGGATATGGCTTGCCAGGTTAAATTTGGCTGCATCTCCACCATAGAAAGCCAGTCTCCATGCAACAGCCCAGAGATGGAGATGATGGATAGAGCTGCTGGCCCTCTGTGTCACTCTTGGGGAAGACAGGCTTCAGAGATGGGTGGAGTGCCTGTGTGTTGGGGAGACAGTGCCTACCAGAAGAGCAGCCACATGTCATAATGCAGATGATTGATTTATTTCTGGGGGAAAAAATAAGCAAAAAGAGGGCTAAGATTGTTAGAAGCGGGCTGTGATGTCAAACTGCCTGTAGCATTCCCAGTGGGGACAATTATCAGCACTGGGTTTACTCTCTGTGCTGATTTCCTAGAAAGAATTGTATTGCTTTATTTAAAGCTTGCTTGTATTTTACTGACAGTTGTCTTTGCTGCAGTGTTATTGATTAGCTTATGCAACATGATGGATGTCAAACTGCTTCCACCAAAAAGAGCTCAGTCTGTGTCACAGTTGTGGCTGGCTGCTCTGGGGACAGTGAAGGATTTGGTGAAAGCCTCTCCAAAGCCTGCAGTGGAGCTGGAGAGTGGGCACTGCCCAGCAGTCCAGGGCAGGAATGGCCTGGGGCTGCAGGCAATGCTGTCCAATACATAAAAGTGTTTAAAAGCTGATGGAGCCCTAAAAGGGAGATTAAAGACCACAGAAATTATTTAAAACTCCCTTTGAAGTACTCAATAGTCTATAGACTATATTGCTTAAGACTAAAGGTAGGTAAAAGACAAAATTCCTCTTTGTGTCTCCAGGATCGCAGGATGCCTGTGAGGGCAAATATTGTTGTGGGGAGATGCTGGGAGTGAGTCTGTGGCAGGAACAGACAGCTGGACTGGATGCCTGCAGTTGTGTGTAATTCATGCACCTCCATCTCTGCCCAGGACCTGCTGGGCAGGCACAGCCCCACAGTCCCTGACATTATTTTGCCACCCGAAATTAAAAGGAGTTGTTACAAATGCCAGATTTAACCACTCAACAGACTGACATGTAAAAGAAGACTATTTTGGTGACAGAGGCTCAGCCTTTCCTTCTAGAGTAAATTGTGGTAATGCCACTGACATGCTTGAGGGAAAGAATGCCACCCAGGACTTTGACAGATGCAAGGGGTGAACCTGCGTGAATTTCATGAGGCTTAGCAAGGCCAAGTGTAAGGTTCCACACCTGGGCACCCAAGAACAAATACAGGCTGGGCAGGGAATGGACTGAGAGCAGCTGTGAGGAAAAGGACTTGGGGTTCTTTGTGGATGAGCAACTCAACAAGACCCAGCTCACAGCCCAGAGAGACAACCACATCCTGGGCTGCATCAAAAGCAGTGCAGCCTGCGGGGAGGGTGAGGTGATCCTGTCCTACTCTGCTTTGATGAGATCCCACCCGGAGTGCTGCATCCAGATCTGGGTTCCCCAGCACAGGAAGAACATGGACCTGTTGGAGCAACTGCAGAGGATGGGCATGAAAATGATCAGATATTTAAATTGAAAGAGAGTGGTCATAGATTGGTTTTAAGGAAGGAATTCTTTACAATGAGGGTGGTGAGACTCTGCAACACATTGCCCAGAGAAAATGTGGATACCCCATTCCTGGAAGTGTTCAGTGTCAATTTGGTTAGAGCTCTGAGCAAACTGCTCTAGTTAAAGGTGTTCCTATCCATGGCAGGGGGTTGGACTAGATGATCTTTAAAGGCACCTTCCAACCCAACCCATTCTATGTTTTCTCTAGAAAATTCGGTCCTATCTGTTTACTGGATGCTGTTACTTAGTACCTGTGCTATCTTTCAAACCTCTAAAGCCCATGTGTATTTGTGGGCTTTGCAGTGGTCTCTTCTGCAGGATGGTTTCTGAAATGTGCAGGCTGCAGGGAGTGAATGGTTGGGCCTTTTCTTTCCTCTCTGTGTCCCAAAATTCAGCACACACAGACTGTGAGCTCTTGTGAGCACTGGGGTCCTCCAGGCAAGGGTAACAGCATTTTGAAGTTTTTCTTTCTTTCTACCCTTCACCGAGCATTATTCAACATGATTTCCACAATCCTTTTGCTGTGCTGCTAGCCCAGCAGTCAGCTTCTCCTCCTCACTGAGCTCAGTAGGAGTTCATATAGAAGTTTATTAGCCTGAAAATTAGCCCTGGAAAGACAAAGAGCTGCCAGAGTGCCAGTACAACCACTGTGTGCCTCGCACAAGCCACCTCGGTTTTCCAACCATGTAGCCCCCCACCTTGCTTGATCTGGCTTCTACTTAGCTGAAAGTAGGATCTATTTTAAGCATGGGCAGGCTTAGGTGCTGCTTCTAACCTAGAAGGAGTGAGGTCCAGCACCCACCTGCTCCTAATGGGGGTAGTTGTGATGATGCCTCAGGTAACCTTGAAAATTGATGTGTACAAATTCATTTCCAAAGTGGAAAATAACAAGCAGTGAATCCCTTTGTATTACTTAGTTTTAAATTTAGTCTGTATACACTGATTGTTCTAATTGGTGATTCATCTGCAATGAAAGTTTGCATCATAGCATCAGAGAAGTATAGCCCCTAGAAGGGAGAAAGAAGATAGAGTTCCAGATGCCTTGGCATCTGGTGAGATGGATGTAGCATTTCAGGCCTATCCTGAATATATAGCAATCAGATGTTTTAATTTGAAAGATAATTACAGTCACATTTTTTTTCTTTTATATTGCATGGATTCACACCCACTTTTTAAAATAAAATCACTTTAGGTGCTGTTATTGTGAATCTGAGGGATAGAATTTATTAAGAACTTGGCTTTCAAATAATAAACCTACAATACTGGGTTAATTCCACAGCAAATTATTGGAGCTGGGGGATACATCCTGCTCTTTCCATTCAGTAAACATGCTTCCTGATTTCCATCAGGTTTAGAAGGGATGGTGCCTTGTGTGACCTGGAGCAATCCCAGGAACTCCTATCTCCAGTAGCAAATCCCTCAAACCTTCACCAAACACACATGAGGAGGTTCACAGTCTCCCTGCAAAAAGAAAATAATTTGATATTTCTTTCCAGTCTCAGACCACTGTTGCTATTTCTCATTCCAGACCAACATGGGAAATAACTCCATCACTAGCACAAAAGGAAGTATGTTGCAAAAGCCCCAGAGTAGTTTTTATTTAAAATGTTGCTATCATAAAATTCCAAAATGAAATTAAGACCTTGGATTCCCATTCAAACATTACCAATCCCCCTTTTTAAAATATATTGATACATAACCACAGAACATAAAACATGCTGCAATGATACAAATATATTTTTTGATACAGAAATTCCAGCACATAATAAATAATGAAAATGAATTGAGGCACTAGACTGAACATCAGTTCTGTTCTGCACTAGCTGTGAAGCTGATAGACTCGCTTTCAGTGAACAAAAGAATACTTGCTTGTTTAGTAAACATAACTCTACAGGTCATACCAAACATGTGCTTTGTTGTGAGACATCACCAGGGTTGCTGGTCCTTTCAGAACCACAACACACCTACACAACACGTGTCACTGCCACAATATGAAAAATAATACTTTTATTGAATGTACAACTCGAAAAAAACCAAACCCCTTCAGTTATTAAATAAATAATTATTTCATACAGTGGTTAGTTTATATTACACTGCATTGGCCATTAGAACAAATGAAGTTCAATAAATAACACACAGGAACGTCTCATTTACGCCTCCGTTCATAATTCTGTGCTGTGCTCCCTTCAGAGGACCCTGCAAAAAACAAAACAGATTGAAGCACAAGGTACAGCCTTGCATAAACACCAGCAAGCACAAGAAGTGTCAGAGACCTGCAGCCAGCTGGCACCAGCAGATGCCAGTGGCGTGTTTGGAACAGAGACCAGGGCTCCTGGCCCATCCCTGAGCTGCTTTGCTTTGGTTTTACCTCTCAGACTACACTGTCCTCCAGAAGGCTGAAGGTCTGAGCTGTGTTTTCCACCTCTCATCTGCTGAGTTGCTGGAAGCACCATTAAATCAGAGCCACTCTACCTCCCAGGAATTCATCTAACTGATGGGATCTAAGCATTCAGGTCAATTTGTGGTAGAGGGTTTCTGCACAGACATATCCACCTTCATTCCTGTGCAGTCAGCTCTTTGCCAGCTCTTGGAAACTCTCCCTGTCCACAAGCCCTGCACACAGGGATAATTTTACTGTACACTGTGGCAGGAGTCAAACTCATCAGACATACTCAGATTACCATGCTGACAAACTGCAGGCTAAAATAGTTTTAAGTAACATATTTTATGTTTAGTAGTGGTAGATCTCTCCTTCTTGCTCATTTAAAATTAAAGTAAAATCCAGAGAGCCCTTCTTGAGCAAGGCTGTCCCCAAACCAGGGACTGAGACATCAGCATCCCCTTACCCTGCTTTGGCACCTGAGGCTGTAAATCAGCAATGTGCTCACACCCAGAGGGACAGCACGAGCTGCTGCCCATTACCAGGGAGCTCAGGGGCTTTCTGCAGAAGAAAACCACAACATGGAGTAAAGGCCCTGCCCAGTTAAATATCTTCCAAAAGGGAGAAATTAGGGTAGCCCTGACATTTACTATTCCTGATCTTGCTTTGATTACACAGTCCTTAGAACACATCTTCTCCTCTGGTGGAGCAGAAAAAACTTTTTACCATTTCCCCCTCAAGCCTTCCTACAGAGGCAGAAAAGCTGTGAATTCTAGTTTTACCTGTCAGTTTTACCTGTGTTACATAGCCCAACAGAGTAAAACATCATTATTTCCTTTTGTCAGAAACACCACATAACAGTATCCTGACTATACCAGCAATTTTGAAATTAGGGCAATAACATCTTTGCATTTTTAAAAACACTTTCTGTATTTTACATTCTGATATTAATGTAAATGTAATCCCAGTGGAAACCAAACCAAATTTATTACTTACAAGCTATTTACTTTTGTGATAGCAGATATATTTACAGGTATTATGCATTTAATAGCTATTGTCACTGCAGAAAATTGTACAAAATTATTCATGATACGTAGCAATTTGCAAAATAATGCAGAGAGCAATATTACTAGTCTTGAAGGGGGGTTTAATTGAAAATAAAAGTTACTGACAACCATAATTGCAGAATATAGATCACAGCATGTATCCACATAATATAAAGGTGTCAGCTAGTAATTTAACTTTTATCATCCATTTAACAAAACAGTGAGAACTATTTCAGAGACATGAAATACATATTAGGCTTTTTATTTTTTTAATTCTTATCCTGGAGGATCAACTGATACTTTATGCTTCACAGTGAGGGATTTAATCAGTATAGTTCTAGAGCACAGGGAAGGAAGGCAGAGCTATGGGGAGTCTCCAATTTTCCACAGGGGTTCTGCATATGAGGGGAGAGGAGACTTCTGTCCATATGGATGCTATGGGAAAAAAAATTCACAGTACCCATTCAGAGTTTAAAATGCTTTAGGTGAAGTCAAAAGCTGAAAGAGACTGTGAATATTTAACAGCCTGATCTGCAGCATGAGGTGGTGTTAATGTCAAAGTTCTACCTTCTACTCCAAGTATTAGGAATAAGGGTCTCCAGAGAAGATATCCTTTTACCTGATGAGATCTAGATTTGGACCACGAGTTGAGTGACCCTTGGATTTTCAGCCTCCAAATTTTTCTTGATACCTCATTAAAATTTAGGAGTTTTTGTTTTCATAGCACTTTGGGGACTAGCAGAACATGCAAGGACAGGACAGTAATCAAAGTGCTCTGGGGAATTCTACCTGAGTTGCCTGCAGCTCAGACCAGCCTGGTCATTTCAAACATTGAAGTGAAGTGAACTCTGAAATATCTTGGGTAACAAAGAAAATTCTGATTCTTTTTCCAAGAACTCTGGATACACTACATGAAAATTGCTTCTTCCATCCGCTGGGAGAGAACAAAGAGGCAACGGAATGAAGAGGCTGTGTATCACCAAGTATCAGATTTAGTCAAATACATACCAGAATTTAAAGATCTTTTGCCCATAAGTCCAACAAAGGAGTCTGTTTTATGCCCTGAAAAAATATATTTAGGGGCATTTTAATACATTTTATCTAGGCAGGCTTTTAAAATAACAGGTTCTTGCAAGGAAAGAAGACAGGGTCCAAAACTGTTATATCACAGACCAGTAATTCACATCACTCTCAGACAACAGAGAACAAACAGCAGTCTGACTAATCAGACTGAACAGGATAGACCAAGGCACAGGTTAGTGAACATCTTCTCATTTGGTTAGATAGACCTTTGGTTTTGGGGATATTTTTAAGTATAATGGAAAACAAATGGCCACTAACAGTACAAATCTTATTTCTTACCTGGTACAATTCCTACTGATCTGAGCAAATGCACAAGAAGGCAGTGTCTTGGTATAGCCTGCATCTGTGTGGTGCATCTCTTCTACCTGTTGTTGTTTTATTTCTGTAATGTGGAAGAAAATCCTCCCTTACAGATCAGATGGAGCCCTTACTGGAGAGGAAGCCAATGGGACTCTGTGTCTGGACACGTCTGAGCTAGACAGTCTGGCTCTATTTTTGGAATATTTATAAGTTCAGGTATTACCTTTCTGTCCCTTTAGTAATTCTCAAGACACTGGAAGTGTAGAGATAAATTACTCCAAGTTTAGTCCTACAGTACCTATCAGGTTATAGTAGTAGCTATAGTTTCAGACAAGGAACGCAAATGAACTGTTCTTCTTTATCTAAACTGGCTTTTGAGTCAAACATAGAAGTTTCTCTTTGGAAGAAATTTTGTTTGGTGAATTCATACACCAAGCAAGATACTCAGACCTCGCATGTATTAATTCAAGCTGAAGCAGCTTCAGAAAACTATAATTTTTTACTTTAGTCAGCTGGTAATTTGAGCTTTGAATGAGACTTTTTATTTGTCTTCCAATACATAACCCCAGAGAAAGCATTTGTGGATAATAGAACACTGGGACAGTTGCTGGCCTCTGTTGGCAGAGGAGGTTTCACAGAATATAAGATCATGTTTACTTAATCAAAATCTTCCTGTTTCTCTTTAAAGATCATGAGATAGTTTCAGCAAATAAAACTACCACTGTGCAGAGCAAGGTAACACACCAGTGTTGATAACATTTCCTGCTTAGTGTTACACAGAAGCAGAGCAAGGCATACTTATTAATGGAGCAAGATATGGCTCTTCATATGGCAGCACATCATCAATCAGCCCCTACCGTGAGCAAGAGTCTGATTCTCAGACAATGCTGAGTGCACAGATGCAGTATCTTGCATGTGAGGACATGGGCACACCCATAAAAGCATTCTTGGGGACTTGGGAATTCATTATTCTAATTTTCCAGATTTTGCCATCTTAATTGCTTCTCTCAGAGCCTGGCGGTAAGCCTGCCTTGCCAATGAGAAAGGCTTTCAAAATCCCCCCCTTGGGAAATAAGAGAGAACTGCAACATCCGCACATTAATATGGATTGAAATCTCAAAGCTTGCAGCAGCTCAGATGAGATACAGGCTCACAGCGGCACTGAAGGGGAGGTTTCAAAGCTTTAATAGATCGTTTCTCCACCAGTGGTTCTGCCAGTCCCTAGCTGAAACCAGTCGCCTTCTAAATAATCCTGTCAAATACACTATTCTCTATTTGAATATCTTCTAATGATTACTTAAAATATTTGTATTTTTTAAACTTACTTTTGTGAGAGATCTGGCCATATCCTGATTGAAAGAGGAAACAAAAGAGAAAAAAGACAAAAAGAGTTGTTAAAAAAGGATTGGTATAAGCATATGATGCCACTGAAATGCTTTGAAAAATCAGATACAAGAACTAACTTACGCATATTCCACTTAAGGAAATTAGGGTGATGGTTTACAACTGCATTTCTCCTTGAAGAGATTAAAAACTTGTTTCAGCTAAACCCACACAATTTAGATTAGTTTAGCTCCAATTTCTTAGATCAATTCTTGGTTCAGTAAACATGTAGAAAATACTACAATAATTGCATAGTCAACCAGTTTCCACACTTTGATGATTCAGGGCATGTCGGCTGACCAATGAATTATCATGCTATCCCTCACTGGGATTTACCTGTTGTAACAGGTACACACTTAAGACTTTAAAGCCTTCTCTTTTCCAACCAATGAGTTTATCTCATATAAAACTTGAAAGAAACAACAAAACAAAAAAGCCAGACCCAAAGTACCCTCACGGTAGCCTAAGAAACAGACGTAACACATTAATCCCGCGCAATAACCGCGTAAGGTTTGGGCAGGCACTGGGAGAAGAACGCGCGGAGAGGCGTGAGCATCCCCCGCCTCGCTCACCGGCATCCCGCTTGCCCATGAGGCCGAAGAACTGCTGGGGCCGGGGTCTCCGGGCCATCCTCTGCAGGAAGTGCTCCAGAGGCAGCGGCAGCTCCTCCTGCGGGGCGACAGCGGGCGGCACTCAGCGCGGACCCCCTTCGGCCCGGCACAGAGCCCCCGGCTCCGAACCCCTCGCTGCCCCGCCCGCGGGGCTCACCTTCGCCTGGTCGCTGTCGGACCAGTCGGACCAGTAGCTGAGGTCGTCGGTGGCTCCCATCTCCTCGCCCAGCGCCTGTGACGAGGCCAGGAGGAGCACGGCGAAAGCCAGCGGGAGCCTCATCGCCGCCTCGACGTCCTGCGGGGGCAGAGGTTGGAGCCCTGGCAGCCCTGCTCGCAGTGACAGAGCCAGCCGGGCACAGCTGGGGACACGCTCCCTCGCACCTACAGCCCCACACGCGCCCAGTTACACCGGCACCCCCGCCCGACTGCTGCGGACCCCTCTGGAGAGACACACACCCATGACAGCAGCACACAGCTCGGTGTGCTCCCCAGCGCACAGACGCACACACAGACACACGCAGACAGCGGTGCCCCTTCACACACGCACGTACAGGGCAAGACTTAAACACAACCTCACACGTCTGTGCACGTCTAGCATACACACCTGCCCAAATACACACACGCAGACAGATACCTCCCCCTCATACACACATCTAGGTACGCACGCATCCGCTCACAAACTCATACAAAGAGCTACACACCTTAAATGCTCATAGCCACGTAGGAACGTAGCTGTCCACACACACAAACACAGAGACACATGTGTCCAGAGGTGCACACTCATCTCTTTGCGCATCCAGGCACATAAGGACAGGCACAAAAACACGCTGGCACATCCAGGCACGCACGTGCGGACACATAAGCACGAATAGGCACCCCCAGAGAAGGACACACGTACAGACCGGGACAAAGAGGTACACACGCACACCGCCTCACAAGCACAGGACAAGCGAAGCCCCGCACACAGGCACGGCCGGCCGGGCTCCGCAGCGCACGCACCGTCTGCAGCGGGGAGGGCGAGCGCTGCTCTCCGGGCGCATTGGCCGGCCGCGGGAGCGCTCCCCACTTTATATGCCTGGAGACGGGGAGGGCCGAGACAGCCTCATTTGCCTAAATGCGATTACCCCCGGTTTTATCGTCCCAGCCCCGTGACAGCCCCCGCCCCGGCGAGCAGCCCCCGCCCCGCGCTCCGGCGGCGCCTCTCGGCTCTGCCCGGGGCCGGCGGTGCGGGCGGCTCCGCGCTGCCCCCGCCGCTCCCCCGCCGCAGCTCCGCGCCCTCGGGGCCGCCCCGCACCGGCCGCGGCGAGGGCGCGTCCCGGCGGCGGACGCGGGGGGAGGGTGCGGAGCTGGATGCGGGATGCGAGTGTGGCTCTAAGTGCAGACGCCGCTTTTTGCCTCTGCCACCCCGCTCCGCTCCCCCAGGGCACGGAGAGCTGCTCTCCGCTGCGAGCGGCACCGCCGGCAGCGGCAGCAGCGGGCAGCGGCCGTGGGCCAGCGGGAAGGGAGCTCCGGCGGCCGGGCAGAGGGGCAGCCTCCCGTGCCCGGGCCACTTCCTTCCCCCGGTCTGTCTCCCCCGTGCCGATGCTCAGGTAGCCCCAGCCCACCGGGACTTGAAAGTGAGGGATGCACGAAGCTGAGGAGGGCCTGACAGGGTGGATGCCGGGTTGGAACGCCGCACTCCCCAGGTCTGAGGGGGTGTACCTGCTCAGGGGCTGCCACAGCCAGGTTTGGGGGGTGTGCACCTGCTCAGGGGCTGCCACCGCCAGGTTTGGGGGTTGTGCACCTGCTCAGGGGCTGCCACAGCCAGGTTTGGGGGTGTGCACCTGCTCAGGGGCTGCCACCGCCAGGTTTGGGGGTGTGTACCTGCTCAGGGGCTGCCACCGCCAGGTTTGGGGGTGTGTACCTGCTCAGGGGCTGCCACGGCCAGGTTTGGGGGTTGTGCACCTGCTCAGGGGCTGCCACCGCCAGGTTTGGGGGTGTGTACCTGCTCAGGGGCTGCCACCGCCAGGTTTGGGGGTGTGTACCCGCTCAGGGGCTGCCACCTCCAGGTTTGGGGGTTGTGCACCTGCTCAGGGGCTGCTGCCGCCGCCCGGCAAGAGGCCGGCGTCTCTGGGCTGGTTGCTGCAAAAGGCGGATGCCTGTACTGGAAAGGGTAATGAGCAGCCGCACATCCCTGCCGGCATCCTTCCCCTACGGCAGCTTTGTCTATAAGATTGCACTTAAATAAGAAAGGTTGTGAGCCAGTAAACTAAGGGTTACTCTTGTCAACATGGGCTGCTTTAGAGTGTGGTTGAGAAAGAGTGATTTGGAGAAGGGACATCATGCAGCCCGAGTACCTGCATTGGGCACCTGTTAAGAGCTCGAGTGGGTGGTGAGAATGCTCCTCATTCTGACTATCAACAAGCGGTCAGAAACCACAGTGTTTATCAACTCTGGAAACCCAAACCATCAGATTTTCATGCTGCACCTTTGCAGCATTCCCTTTGATGTGTGAACTTTGAAGTCTCTTGAAGAAAAATTGTTTTCTTGTAGTTTTGTTTATTATTTTGTTTCTGTTTACTATAGTGACAACAGAGCACTGGTCAGATACATCAAACCAGGCTTGCCAATCCTGCAAATGTTCCTAAAGCTCGTGTCTCTCAGAAATCCTGTGAACTCCCAACTGTCTATGAAGTCAATTTCTATCACTTGGAAAGTACAAATTTGAACTGAAATATCCTATCTGTTCTATTTCTCTAATTAAACATTTTACCAACATGAATGTAACCATAACTTCACCTATGAAAATACAGGGATTTTATTTTTTGAGAGACCAAGAGAAGAAAAATTAAAAAGAGGTCTTTTCCAGTCTTCAGAGACTTTAATGAATTCAAGTACTTTATCTCAGATTATTTAATAGTTTGGGTGGAAGTGAAAAACTGATTAATAGAGCAAGCTCACTTTTCTCTTTCTCAATTTTAAAATAAATTGGCTGTTTAATCTTTCTTTGACCTGCAATAGCCAGACATTGCACTATGAACTTTTCAGAAAGTGAGCAGATTTCATGGCTAATGAGCAAAGCTGATCCCCAGGAAGATTTTCAGTTCATTTTTTTCATGTGAAAAGGACATAGAAGGCTCAAATAAAGAAGCAAGCTGAAGCTCCTACCTTTGTGCTGCTCAGTCCCTATCCTAGGGATGTACTAGAGCATGGTAAAGTGCCCTTTTGCATAAAAAAAGAATCCTGTTTCACATATTTATTCACAAGGTTCTCATAGATATAAAGCTGCCTCTGCCTCACACATGATATTAGCAGCTTTATATCTATGAGTAATCTTGTGAATAAATATGTGAGCTCAAAGGCAGGTACAAGGTATCTTTGGTGAATATTCCTTCTCTGCCCATGCTCAGGGCCCCACTCCTCTGTTGGAGTTAGCCCATGTGATATCTAACAAGCAGCTGAAGATTTTTGGTCATGAATCAAGAGATCATTGGATCCAACTGACCCAAATAAGGGTTAACATTTCCTATGGAAGTGACACAGAAAGCTGTCTTCAGAATCCTTATCCAGACATTTCCTTAATAAGGATTAGGAACTGGACTAAAGGCACTTGTTGTGGCTTGAATCTCAACTCTAATGGAAAACCATTTGGGACTCAATTGCCTGTGAAACACACCTCAGAGAATTGGTTTTTCAGTAAGCTTAATGTGATACCTCCTGTGTGATGATCCTTGTGAAATGTTTATTTGAATTTTATTACGGTGTTTTGGTTTCCAGTAAAAAGTCTGATCGTTGAATGATAAGTTACATTGGCTGCTATACTGTTACCTAGTGACCCTTATACCATTAACAAACAGCTAATGTGTGATGGGAAAATAGCAACATGCGCCCATGTAAGATTTTGTGCAGAATACAGATTTGAACTTTTTGAGTATGCACAATTTCAGAGCATTTGACATGAAATTAATGCCTCTACCATTGCTCTTCAGTGGTCTTGTGCTATACAATTTCATACTGTATATTTAAACCTAGAGCCTAATTCTTGTTTACATTGAGATGTCATTTCTTCACTTTACCAGAGACACTCAAGGAACAGAAACAGCCCCAAAAGAGTTATTTTATATTACTTCAAAAATTAGGAATGAGATGCAGTCTACCTGAGCACAGTGATCCTCTCTGTACATATACAGCTCTGATTTAGATTGTTACAAGAAGAGTGGAAATGTTCTTATCCAAAGATACAACTTTATAAACATAGGAAGGAGAAACCGTGATTGATGACCTCCTAAATTTTTCATAGGTATGTGTCTCCAGGGTAAATAGAATGATTTCGTTTGCAGACGAGGGCTCTTTGTAACACAGTGATTTATTTTGCCACTGGAAGATTATTTACTTGCAACACATCCAAGTGGCATTGGAAAAATTAGCAAAACTCACCATAGCATCCTATTTCCTAATTAAGTGTGAACAGACTATTGAATTATCTTTCACCTTTCTTGAATTTTAAATCTTCTATTATAAATTTGTCATCTTCAATTTTTCCTTTAACAAAGGTTTACATTTTCAGAGCATATGCTCATACATGTAAATGAATATGAGGCATATGTAGTAATTATGCATATCTCTCTCTCTCTTCCCCCTCTACATCTATAAAGAATGAGTTCTTATTCTTCTGTCTGTGAAATAAAACATTCTAGGTTCAATTACATTGTGCTCACTGGCAGGCAAGGAGGGGAGCAGTGAGATTTTCATGCCAGAGGAATGCCCCTTCCTGGACAGGCACAGGCAGAAGCAAGGCTGATCTTACAGTTACTGAATCATCTGCTAAGAGCTGAAAATGTTTGTCTTTAATTCTCAGTTTGAAAAGTTAATGGGTTTCCTCACTCTTCTTGTCCCTGTCAACTTTTATACTCCCATCACTTTTCTCCATCCCACCCATCCACTATTATCATCACCTCTTATCTAGAGTGAGCTTCCTTTACCCTGATCTGAGGCTCACTTTTGTCCACATTAAGTTAGACACAAAACTGGGATGTGGGACCAAATAGAAATAAATATCAGGGTATTAAAATGCTGAATGTAAACCTACAACATGATTGTTGCAGAGGTTATCCCCTCAAACTAATATTTCTAGAGTCAATCATCTGCAAGGGAAGTAATTGTAGTCCTGTCAAGCTTCTCGGGCTCAAGAAAGAACATGTCCTTGGAGGGAAAAAAGCGCTTACTTTCATCTATTTGGAGATCTCTGGGAAACAAAGCTGTGCAAAGCCATCTCTACATCTGCAGGAGCTTTGGGAGAGTTGGTGAGGAGAAGGGCCTCTAGAGACATCTTTAGATATGTATTATTTCAAAACAACTATGAGAAGAACTGGACTTGCTGCCTGGAGATGCCTTGGCATAACTTTCCAAATGGTTTTCATAAGAAAAATGGGAGATACAATATTTGTTAATTTTGTTCAAAAAAGCCATCAGGGAATGACATTAGAACGGCACATTTCAATAGCAAATACAGGACAGTGTTCCTCTCACAAGAGACAGTGTCTGCTGCTTTTAACCATAAAACCAGGGGTTATTTTCACATTTGCCATCACCAGGTTTACCATCACCAAGATTTGGCCAGGGACAGCCATGAAATAAGGTACAAAATATTTCTCAAGCTGAGGCAGACTGTGAGCATCACTGGTCAGAGCTTGACCAAGGAAAACCTGCAATTTGAACTCTCCTCACAGTGCAAAGGGCTCAGAGCAGCCAAGGAGCAGATGCTTGAGACTAATTAAGTTTGTCAGTCTTGGAAGAAAACTGCTGACATTGCTTTGTTCTGATGCAGAGACCCTGTTTTTTGTTTTGTACTTACTGGTTTACAAATATATTTATGAGTTGGTTGATTTGTTTCAAACCAAATCTTCTGAGTCTGAAGCTCACTCTGTAAGGCTTTTTGCTTCAGTTGTCCCAGCCTACTTGTAAACTACCTCACAGTGTCCTGTGAGGGTAAGGGAGGATTTAGACTTACTTCATCAACAGGTAAAAGCAAAACCCTGGCTTATAATCTGAGCTCAGTGCATCTTCCATAAAGCTTTTCTGTAGCAAGGACAATCTTTTCTCTGAGACTGACCTCAGCCTTAGTGAATTTTGCAGATGGATCATCAAAGTCAAGTCCTTGGCCTGTTTTCAGCACCTGATTATCTTCTACCTGATCCTGCCACCAGGACCTGTCCTCATTGCCCTGACCACTGGCTGGCTCCTGCTGTGGACAGCAGTGGTGGAGGACAATGGCTGCAGTGATAGCCCAGAAAGTGGAAGAGCCCCACTCTCACGCCATGGGAATGCACAACAGCACTGCCTGGTTCTCTGGGAAAGCCATGGACATATCACTGTCCCATCCACTCTGTTTGATCCCTGTGCAACCACAGCCCTCAGCACAGCACAGGTCTGGGTAGCCTTCCCTCCCACCCCCACTTCCAGACCTTCTCCTGCAGGGATGATGAGGCGTGTTTTACACTGGCTCCTTCCGCCCATTCCCCACAGCATCTCAGTGCTCATTGCAATGGCAAAAAAGGAATAGCTGCTCATGGCTGCTATGAGT